CAGCACCGGCTCTCCTGTGCTCAGGGATGTGAGACTGGGTATTCTTGGGTTCTCCTCTCCTGCGTCTCCCGCACCCAGGGTGAGTGTGGCCCAGGCCCTACCTCCACACAGCAGTGCTTGTCCAGAGCAATGCTCCCCTTCTTCTCCTTCCGTTCCTCACTCATGTAGTAGGACAGGGCGCTGGGCTTCAGCGTGAACCACCGCTCTGACCAGTTTCTCCTCAGCTGGCCCTTCTTCCAGAGGTAGCCCTGCCCCCGAGAGACACGGATCAAAACTGGGCTGGCAGCAGGATGGGGTTTGTGCCCTAGGACCTGTGGGCTCCTTGTGCCCCAGGGTTTGTGCTCCAGGACATGTGGGCTCCTTGCCTGTTTGAGGACGTCCTCGATGATCTCCTGGTACACCTCCTCCACGGCCATGCTGACGGCCTCCTGCTCGATACCTCGCAGGAACCGCCCCGAGTTCACCATGTCCAGGAACTGCCAGACCGTCAGCCCTCCCTGCCCCTGGGGCTCCTGGGACAGGTAGTCATCCAGCTCACAGGAGTTCAGCTCCACGTTCATGGCCGTGCAGATCTTCTTCAGCAGGTATTCCACCTGTGGGGATGGGAAACCCAGTGATGGGGAGAGGTCAGAGCCATCCTCGTCCCACCAACCCATTTTGGAGAGCCCAAGACCATATCTCTCTCCAGCCTGGAGGATGCAGGACCCTTATCCCAGAGGTGTCCCCCCTTGTGATGGTTGATGGTCATGGTTGAGGTGTTCCAGGCAGTAGGCAGGCTCAGGAATCATAGAATCATAGAATCATTTAGGTTGGAGCAGGGACACCTCCCACTAGATCAGGCTGCCCAGAGCCTCATCCAGCCTGGCCTTAAAGACCCCCAGGGATGGGGCCTCAACCACCTCCCTGGGTTAGAACTCAACCCCTGCTGGGAAGGTTTCCCTTTTAACCACAAAGCTGAAATGTTTTGGGGTTGTTTGTCTGCAAAGTGAGAAAACTCTGCAGCAGCCAAGTGCCTGGGTGAGAACAACCTGAGGCTACTGTCCCCCACACCCAGCCCACAGGGCAGGTGTGTCCAACCATGGCCTCGACCTCAGCACCACCCTGTTTTCCAGCTGATGTTGTATAAACTCTGGGGAGGACCTGGGGAAGAAATCCCTACAGAGAAGATGAGCAGCATTTTGAAACTGTAAATAAATTTCTTGTTTTAAAAAAGAGCTAAACTGGTTGACGTGATGTCGAGATTTCTTTCAGCTCATGTTTTGCTGCCAGCTCTTCTCTACCCACCATCTGGGGACCTAGGAGGGTGGGTGACTGCAGAGAGCCACACAGGAAGGTGAAATGCAGCAGAGTCCCTGCACCCAGCTGGAGTTTTTTACATCATTGAGCTAGAAGGGCAAGAATTTAACATAGTTGGGGTTTTTTTTTAATTTTTTTTCTAAAGTTCAGCCCTGAAAGCAGAAAGATGATTCAGTTTGTCATGGTCTGGGGAACAGGAAACACCTCTCTGGGGAGCAGGAAGTGTGGTTGCCCTCCTACGTCTGCGCAGCACTGAGCTGCTTGGCTTTCTTTTTGCCCTTTTTATCTTTTTTTTTTTCTGCTTTTTCGCTGATCTCAGGAGGTTGGTGGTGCAGAAGAACACAGCAGTTTCTTGCCTGGCTGAGCTCCTCCTGGCGAGGCCGCTCTTGGCTGCTGAGCTTGTCCCTCCTCCCCAGATCTGCTCACCTTCTCCTGGGGGGTTTGATCTGACCCCTGGGGAAAGGAGAACCTCCCCCTCCAAATCCCAGGTGGAATTTGGGGATTTGGAGATTACTGCCAGCAGCTTTGCAGGGCAGTTGGGGCAAGCTCGCTCTTAACTCTCCAGATGCTGAGCAGGGTGTGGTGGCAGTGGGCATGGAGAGGGACAACTGGGTCTGCTCTGCCACCACCTTCACGGTGCCATGGGCTGAAAGCAGCACGAGGGACACAGCCCCATCCAGCCTGGCAGTGATTTCACAGGGAGCAACCTCCCACTGCACCAGATTTTCAGGGTTTTGCATCATCTTCTCTTTCTCCCACGTGAAAATCATGAGTTGTCCTCCACCACCGTGCTCAGCTCAACCCCTGGGTGAGGTGGAATGGCTTCAAGCAAGGGACCAGCCCCAGCAGGAGCCGTGCTGTGGGTGCTTCTTGGCTGGGGCTCTGAGAACTGGCACATTCATTTCACAGCAGGCAAAAGGGCTCGTTGGGGTAGGCTTGGGCCATGGAAAAGCACTACGGACCAGCCCACACCTTATCCTCCAAGACAGCTACACTTGAGAGGCTTCAGCATTTTGGAGGGGTCCTCCCAGCTGTTCCCAGGTCATTCCCTACTCCCTGAGCAGTGAAGGGGGCTGTGGGCATAGTGGGGGGGTGCCCAGGGCAGACAGCCCCCTCCTCCCACCCCTGGCCTGCTCCCTCTGGAGCACCCCATCTTGCAGGATGTGGTGGGACATGCCAGGAAGCGATAGCAGGATGTGTCAGCCCCAAACGGCCCTGGGAGGATGGGGATGGGGTGGGGAAAGGCAGGTCCTACCTCGTCTGGCACCATGACGAGAGGATATTTGTCTTCAGACAGAAAGTTGAAGAGACACCAGAGCTTGAAGGCATCTTGGTGGGATACAACACTATTCCCATTCCGGTCAGGCTTGTAATTCTTCTTCGCTGTCAGGGTCCAGCAGAGCTCATCAAAGTCTTCTTTGACAAAAGCACCTTCCTCCACCTGCAGGCAGGGGTCAGAGGGGTGAGCGTGGTGCTGCAGGGAGGAAACCCTCACGCCTGAAATCTCCTCTCCCTGCTGGTGAGAAGCAGGGGGTGATTGTGGGACCCACCACCCGATTGTGAGTGGGTTCTGACCCATGATGCCAGCGGACATGTCCTCAGCATGGGGCCCTTAACAAGGCATCCTGAAGATGCTATGGGACCACTGCAGCACCTGGGCACCACGGCGTGGCCACAGCAGCTCAGCCTTGACTTGCCAGGCTCTGGAGCACCAGCAGGAACCCCATGGTGAAGCACACAGTATTGTGTGGTGCTCTGCCAAGCCCACCTCCCCAGTGCCTCCATGGCTTTGGGTCGTTCTCCTTCTCCCAGCTGACCATGAAGAGGAACTGGGGCTCACTGAAGGGAAGCCACAGCCCACGGGCAGGCAGCAGCGGGGCAGGAATGTCACCTCCACCAGACTCAGCCCCGCTGTCTGTCCAGGAGCTTCTGCCACCTCCTGCCCAGCATCACGAGCCGCTTCACGCAGCAGTTTTGGGGTGGTGTTGGTGACCTGTGGTGGGGACTGAAGGAGCCTGGGTGCATCTGGCTGCTCCTGCCCAGCTGCGTGAGCTGCCACGAGGGCAAACCGCAGCCCATGGCAGCACAGCCAGACAAGGACCTTTGGGTGGCAGAAAAACTGAAAGCCCTTCTTACTAGGAAAACCCACTTCCCCTTCTCACGCTGCCTCTGGAAATTTATTAGCCATGGCCAAAGCAGAAGCTGGGTTTAAAGATTGTCTTTGTGCTTTCCCTCAAGAAAGGCTGGACCAGATAATCCTTGAGGTCCTTTCCAAGGTGGCATTCTATGATAAACAACATGGGAAACTGGAAGGATTCAGCTGCTCTCTGACAGGGAGGTTGGGCTGAGCTCGGGCAGAGGGAGCTGGGGAAGGTTCTCCCCTCCCTTGCTGCAGACCAGATCCCTGCAGCTGAGATCAGCACCCCTGGACCAATCTGGGAAGCTCCTGATGAAGAGCATGGAATGCCAGGGACAGCAGCAGGGGAGGGACAGGAAGGGTTACTGCACCCAGCTCTGGGCCCCCCTGCTTTCAGGCACAGGGTGGAAGAAAGCTGTCAGGCATTTTTCCTCTCCTCACATGCCTGGAGGAAACGAGCACCCAGCCGCAAAGTCTCGCTGCACCAGACAAAGGTGCCTTTGAGCTGCACGGAAAAAAGGAGAAACCTCCAGCCCACCCCAGCTTCACCTTGTCCTCCTCCCTCCCCTCCTCTTTGCCACATGAGGTCACTCCTCAAATTTGAACAGGGGTGGAGAGGAAAAAGGGGCTGGTTTCTCTCTCTGAGCCCTTTAGGAAATGTGGGCTGAGGTACACCTCCTTCCAGAGCCCTGGTGGAAAGGGCTGACTTCATCCTTGCCAAGGACATGTTGAGTATTAAACATTTCTCACTCATTTTGGCATTCACAGAATCATAGAACCACGGAGTGGTTTAGGACGGAAGAGACCTTTAAAGGTCACCTAGTCCAACCCCCCTGCCCTGAGCAGGGACATCCCCAGCTAGAGCAGGGTGCTCAGAGCCCCGGCCAACCTCCCCTGGGATGGTTCCAGGGATGGGGCAGCGACCACCTCTCTGGGCAGCCTGGGCTCAGCACCCTGAGCACACCCCACCCCTCTCTACCCTTTTTCCACCCACTGAGGCACAGGATCTCCAAGAGCAGAGGGGAGCAGAGCCGTGGGGGCCCCAGGGGACACCAGCTGCAGCAGGTCGGGGGGATGGCCAGGGGGCTCACCTTGTCCAGGATGTACTTGTTGAGGTAGGGCATGTAGCCCTGGCTGGACACCGGCCCGTCGTCGTCGTCGCGGAAATGCTCCTCCAGTGCCACGGGGTCGTGGGGGATGCACAGCACCGTGTACAGGTTGTGAGACAGCACCTGGGCAGGAGGCACGGGGAGAAGGATGTGAATGATCTCCAACCCTGCCCCAGCACCCTGCCCACCCCCCTGGGCACCCTGCCCTGCCCAGCGTCACCTCCCTGCAGCCACCACCGCATGGAGGAGTGGTTGGGGTTTGGCAGAGGGACAGGGGAGTCTCCCCAGATGTCAGCCTTAGAAAATCACTTAGAAACGGGCAAAAATTGAGCATTTTTCCACATTCATTTCTTTACTTTCTTGGTACATGGGGAACTTTTTTGTTTGTTTGTTTTTAAAGGGCTGTTTCAAACTTTACAGAGCAAACAGGACAGGCTTTGATCTAGGAAAGGTAACAAGGCCCCTCAGCCATGCTGCTGGGCAGCTGCCCCCAGTGATTCCTTCCAAACATGACTCATGATGGTGCCCAGCCTGGCAGCCAATGCCTTCTGCCAGTGGGGCACAGGAAGATGTGAAGATGAAAATGACAAAAGACTTCTAGGAAAGAAAGAAAAGGTTTAGTCTAAGATGGAAGGAGACCATGGAGATCTGGAGAGCTACCATCTTCACAAGCAGTCTACATGTGTCAAAAATGAGCCCATTTTTGTTTGAATTCCTCCAGACAAAGCATGGTTTGAAGCTCCCACAGAGAGTAGATGCTGCTAGTGTGGCCAGTAGGTTGTGGGAGGTTCTTCTCCCCCTCCACTCTGCCCTAGTGAGGCCACCTCTGGAGTACTGGGTCCAGGTCAAGAGAGACAAGGAGCTACTGGAGAGAGCCCAGTACAGGCTCTGAAGATGCTGACATCTCTGTGCCAGGACAGGCTGAGAGCCCTGGGGCTGTTCAGCCTGGAGAAGAGAAGCCCAAGAGGGGATCTGATCAGTGCTGAGCAAGAGCTAAAGGGCCCCGGGGGGCAAGAGGCTGGGGCCAGACTCTGGTCAGTGGTGCCCAGCAACAGGACAAGGGGCAACGGGCACCAACTGGAACCCAGGAGGTGCCACCTGAGCAGGAGGAGAAACTTCTTTGGGGTGAGGGTGCAGAGCCTGGAGCAGCTGCCCAGCGAGGCTGTGGAGTCTCCTGCTCTGGAGAGATCCCAAACCTGCCTGGCTGTGACCCTGGGCACCCTGCTGTGGGTGAGCTGCTGGAGCAGGGGGGTTGGAGGAGATGATCTCCAGAGGTCCCTTCCAACCCTTACTGTGCTGTGACTCTGGGATGCTCTGCAGCATCCCTGCTCCTCTCTGTGCAGGGCTGGAAATTTCCTCCCAGCAGGAGAGGAGCCACCGGAGGCTATGCAGCTGGAGACGGTTCTTGCTCAACCAGATTTTCTTTCTCTTTTCAGCCTCTGGCCCGATGTTATCAGCAGGACTCCACCCTGTGCTCCAACACAGAGCTGGCTGTAGCCCTGAGCGCTGCTGCTACGGCGCAGCCCTGGGGTCCACGCAGGGCTGGGAAGGGATGGAAACACCTTGGGCATCCTCTGGGATGGCTAATGAATCCATCAGGATGGTTTGAAAGTCTGGGAATCAAATCCTGTTCCCGATGTGAGACCTCCCTTGCTCCCTCAACCCTCACCCATCCCTTGCACCTCTTCTCACTGCACCCCAGGCAGCCCTGGGAGGTCTCACACGTGTCCCGCAGAGGCCACCTCAGAAATGAAATCTGGGCAGGAAAGCCCTGGCCAGGCTGACATTAGGGTGCATAGCCCCGGGGCTGCCCCAGCCCCACGGAGAGGAGAGGTGGGAAACCCCCTCCAGGCTCTGACGTGAGGGATAGGAGGGGAAATAACGGGGAGGAGAAGGGAAGGGATGCTCTGAGAGGGGTCTGGTGACACAAACGTTCCCCTGCAGGGTGCAGGGGACAGCTGGGGGGCAGAGATCTGCCCGACATCCCCCAGCAGCCCGAATCCCTCTGAGCACCAGACCCAATGCTGTTCTCCACCCTCTCCCCTGCTCCCACCAGCCCCAACTCCCTCCCCTCCACAGCTGCTGCCCGCCGGAGCCGGGGGTGGAATATTTAAGGTGGCTGGAGAATGGCAGCTCCTCTTCTTCTGCCCCGTGGGAGATGCCGAGGACGATGCCAGGGCTGGGGGTGACCTTTCAGGCTGGAGTCTGGATCCCTGTGTGAAACACAAACCCCTCTAGCCCTGGTGAGCAAGAGCAAGGGATTGAGGCTTCTAGAACCATGTAAGGAGCATTGCTGCTGCCTCAGTTCCCCCATGTACAAGCAGACCAGTGCTGCTGAGAAAATCAAATCCAAGGAGTCCTGCCCCAGGGGTCCCCCAGCACCAGGAGCCTTTGCCAACAGTGAGGGTCCCTTGAGCTGCCTATTTTGTGCAGCAAGGAGGATTCAAGCAGGGTCATAGAATAGCTCAGGTTGGAAGGGACCCTAGAGACCATCTCATCCACCTTCCTGCCATGGGCAGGGACACTTCTCAGCTAGCCCAGGTTACTCAAGGCCTCATCCAACCTGGCCTTGAACACCTCCAGGGAGAGGACATCCACAACCTCTCTGGGTAATCTTGTCCAGAGTCTCGCCACCCTCCTACTGAAGAGCTTCCTAAAATCCAATCTAAGCCTACTCTCCAGGGTCAGCTCCTCACCACCCCACCAGCCAGGACTCCTTGACTCAAGCCCAGCCCCAGGACCACTGGGAAGAGCTTTCCCCTCTGCTTGAACAGATGAGCTGCTCTCAGCCCTGGTCCTGGCCAAACTGGGACTCCCTGCCTTGTGCCTTTTGTGCACGTAACAAGCAGAGGAGCTCTCAGTCCACGGCAGGCACCTCCCTCCTGCCCCCGGGGGGGTCCATAAACCGGCTGTGCTGTGCTAACCCGGCCCTGCAAGGCACCAGTTATACCAGACAC